CTTGTGAGTGGGAAGGCGCGAACCCCCCTCCCTCCCCTTCCCCGGCTGCAGAGCAGAGGAGAGCAGAAGCCTCTGGGGGCTTGGGGGGCTCTTCTCCTTAACCCAGGGCTGGGCCTTCTCCCTCCCGCGAGCCCAGAGGCCCGACTGGCCCTATGCCCGCGCAAGTCGGCCTTTGGCCCTTTGGATGAGGCCCTCCTGGCGCGCTCCCTCATCCCTCATCCATTCTTCCGAGGAACGAAGAGCCACAGCGACAGAAACGCCCTCGCGGGCGCCTGCCCTTCCCACCCGACGCCTCCAAAGCCCTCGGCTTCCAGCGGCCACCTGGCTTCCTTGGGGCCTAAAGTCCAAAAGGCCTGGCCCCCGCGTCCGAGAGCCCTGGCAGGCAGCGGAGGGGTCCACACGGACCCTGGGGTGCTTTCCCAAAATGAAGAGGCAGGCTACGTGGGCGTCGCTGCTCCCCCGGACCACCCAACCGGGGGAGCTTAGAAAGGGGCTGGCAGGCCCGCTCTTCCCTTCCAAGCGATTCCACGCAAGCCGGGCTGGGCACTAGTGTGGGTGAACCACCCTCTGCCCAGGGATGGCAATTGACCCGTTGCAGGGACCCAGGCGGCTGTCCTTTGGTCGGAGGCCCTGGGCCAGCGCCCATCTTCCGAAGATTCTCTCCCCAAAGACACGCCAAAGGGCCCCTAACGCCCAGGGGCATCCTGGCAGAGCCAGCGTGATTCTTGTCCTGTTGCCAGCCCAAAATGGCTGTCTGGCAGGAAATGGCCACCAAACTCTGCTTCCTGTCTGAAGCTCAGCGCCTGTTTTTGTCTTACTGGATGCCTTCGTTCTCCCTCCCTCCCTCCCTCCAGAAACAAGAAGTCCAGATAAAACAGGAAGCGTCCGTCAGCCACACTTAACGGGCAATCTGTCGCCTCCGAAACAATTCCTAAGGATGCAATCAGCAGGAAGATGGAAAGAAAAACAAAGGGGGGGTGCGCGATAAGGCTCCGCTGCGCCCCCCCACGTGACGCAGTCGGCTGGTAGCCGAGCAGAGGCGTGTGGGCAGCGGGGAAGGGAAGGGAAGGGTATTTATAACTCGCCAGCCTCCCCTCGTCCTGGGAACTGGAAGTGACAGTCCTGGCTTCCAAGAACCGGTTACGCCTGGCCGTTCTGGGGGGGAGGACCCCAACGCCACCCCACAGGAAACGCAGGAGCGTAATCTACCTGCCTCAGTTTCCACCGCAGGGGTCAAACGGAATTAGGAGGCTGCGCTGGAAACGGGAATGACAGGCGGAAGGAGGTCCTCAAGGCGAGGGGGGACAGAGAGAGGCCGCCAAGGGACCGGTGGCCGAGGGCCGGGACCGCGGCCGCCAGCGTCCTTGGAGCCGCCAAGCCACGCCTTGAGGAGCGGTCCGAGAGGAGACGGTCGGAGCATCTGGACAGAGGTGCTCGTGTGCCTTCCCCTCTTGGCAGATGAACTGTGGAAGGCAGAAGATGGGCGAAGCAGTAGAAGAATACAGGGGGCTTACAAGGGGAGAGCAGAGGGTCTGGATCGCCTGTGAAAGCCCATGAATGAGGGAGGGGGTGCCTGCTTCCTCATGGAGGGCCTCCTCCTAGGAGGTTCTGCCCCCCTCTGCCCCATGGTGCTGCTCCTTCCTTAAAGAGACACGGCCACCGTGCTGCGACTGGGTGGGAGGTCTCTGCAAAGGAAGGGGTAGCCGGACCCTGGACTACTGCGGTGGTCTGCTCTTTTGGGAGGGAGCCCCTCATGAGGGCCGAGTGCTCTTGTTCCTGTGTCCTGGCTGGCTCTCCTCGGGGGGCACGTATCTCCCCCCAAGTGCCCTTTTCCAATTCCGAATGGAGCCTCACCACCACTGAACAGACGGATGCATCTTGGGAGCGCTCTGTGGTCCAGAACGGGATCCTGGCTCTCAACAGGCAGAGCCCCAGGACAAAGTACGGAGTGCGGCCGCCTGGCCTGGGCCAGACCCAGTTCACTGTGGCCCAGAGGCTTGAGTAGGGGGGAGCCTCAAAAGGGTGGTCAGGCACACCAGCTGTTTGGAAAGGAGCCAAGAAAATGCTCCAGCTTCACAAAAGGAGCTGGAATATGGTATGTTCTCTACAGCTGTGTTTAGATGCCTAGGAGAGAGAGGCAAAAGCATTGCCTAATCTGGTGCCAAGCTCAGTCAGAAAAGCCACATCAAGAACAAGCAGCCAACGGCTCTGAACTGGAATGGGGAGAAGATGAAAGCTGTTTGCAGAAGCTTCAGCTACCAAGCTTGGTTCGATGGCTATTGCCTTTATCTCCTTCTTGAACACTTCCCTGGATCTTCTGGCCATTATGGCAAAGAGAAGGTTGACTCAAGCAGCTGCTCCATGGCTCCCTAGACTGGCTGGATTGCAATCCTTCCCATGTATGAGCTTCAGTGACTGGGCATGAAGGCAGTTGGGGCCTAGTACCATCTACGGAGATACAGCCTCGCCTAGAGAGCACATGGTCCAACCCATCAAGAAACCAGTGGAATCATTCAATTGAACAAAGGGGAAAGAGGTGCAGAATGGCCAAAGGGGAGGGTTGCCAGAGTTGAGTTCTGACACACCCGGAGGACACCAGACTGGGGAAAGCCAGCCTTGACAGCTTTATAATGGCAATAGGCCAGCTCCCAGGGAGGAGAAAAAGCTTATTGTGGCTCTGAATCCTAAGGCATCAGGAATGCTCCTCTGGCCATTGCAGCTTCCCAAAATAATTGCCCTGGCCAAGATGACCTTTGACCTGATCCAGCCAGGCTCCTCTGAGGCTCCTGGTGGCCTCCTTATGGCTTGGCAAAGCTCAAGAGCTTCTGTGAAGGCTCTTGGGGACACCAGGCCAGGCCTGAGGAACAAGACCCTCCCTCCCAACAGCCTGATTTCTGACTCACTGCACATCAGGAAACTCTCTGGCGAGGAATGCCACTTCCATCTGGATGGTGGGTGTGTCCTCCAGCTCAAGGATCTCAGCCAGGTGTGGCACAACAGAGTCCAGCCAGGATGAGGAGGATTCCTGAAGGAAGGGAGGAGACAACAGAAGCCTGAAGTGGGGATGGAGTTAATTATAGATAGTCCCTTGCTTGTCCTCGCTGGAAACCTGAGAGTTGGCGTGCCACATTTGCAAACAAACAGCATCAGGAAATGACCTTTTCAAAAAGCCTGTCACTACTGACCCATGAAGCTCACTGCTGCGGGATATGAGGAGGTGAAGGAGAATTCTGAAACAATCAGGCTTGTCCCAGCAGACAACCGCTGCTCTCAGATGGAAATTTCCCTGAGTCAGAGGTCAGACAAGGAGAGGGATGGTTTCTCTGCCCCCTCTTCTGATGGCCCCAAGACCAGAGCGAGGGGAGTAAGATGTCACAGAGAGACATCTCCGCCAGCCTGGCAACCTTCCCCAGCACACTGGTATCTTCCATCCTTCTGTGGCTTGTCCTTCAGGCACAGAATGCCACACTTTTTATTTCCAGTTCTATGTGGGGAAGGGCATGGGGCAGGGGCGTCCTGCCTGCTGACATCCATCCCTACAGGAAGGCCCATGAGCCCCGCTTTTCCCTTTGCCCCCCATCTCACCAGCTGAATGAAGAATTCCTGCAGCTGCTTCGCCTCACTCCGGAGTCTGTTGGCCACCTTGGCTCTCATCTTGGATGAAGTGCAGATGATCCGGACTCGCATCAGAGGCCGGACATATTCAATCAGCACCTGCCGGTGCACATCCCTCACCAGCATCTGGGGGTCAAAATGGCAGAGCAAGATCAGAGCTGGGAGAGAACCAGGACTTCTGGGAGTTGGGTTAGGCTACAGTTGGGTCTGAGGAAAGTACCCAGGCAAGAAAATCCCTGGTTTCTCCTTGGCATTAAGAATGTGAGAGGTTCTTTGCTTGCCCTCAGGGGCAGTCTGGTGCACAGAACCTAAGAGGGGAACTGGCAGGGCACCAACTGCTGGGAGAAGTTGGCACACCTGCTCACTTTCACACAGGCAGTCCTGTGGAAGGCCAGGAGAAACCAAACCAAACCAGGGTGGACAGAGGCCTTTCTGAACTGCCAGCTACTAAGCATCTTATTGCATTGAGATCAAGATTTGCTGAAGAGGAGGCTCTTCAGCCAGTCTCTTTGTGCCCCTTGGCACCCTCTTTCTCCCTGTTCTTACCTGGTAGGGCCCCAGCTTCATCTTCCTCAGCTTCTGAGCATGCTCTGCAAGTAGAGCCATGATGGTGGAGAAGGCCTCTGGGTTGTTCAGCCATTTCCTCTTCATCAGCTTGCAAAAGTAGGGCTGTTTGGGGGGAGGGCAGAGAAGGGACAGTGTCTTAGGTACAACCTGAGAGCAGGTCCAGTCTGGGGGCATTTAGCTGACTGAGTTTGCACACCCACTAAGCTCAAAGCAAAACCCGCTCATTACCGCTTAGCACGAGTGAATCCGCTCACTGATTTTTGCAGACCAAGTTTACAGGTTAGTGTATTATTATGTCAGCCAGGTCAATATGGCTGTTCTCAAAACATGGCTGAAACAAACCATGGTTTATGTGAAGTGTGATCCAGCCATCTGGCTGGGTTCCCTAGGGGCTCATGAGATTTCTTCCAGCTTCACTCCGTTCACTAGTTGGACAAGTAGCATCCTCTAGTGCCTTCCTTCAAGTGCTATTACCGACAACCTGGTGCCACTTGCCTCAAACAGTGAGGCTGGAGGATGAGATGAAAAGGGGTCAAGAGCCAGCAGAAAGCTGGAAGGGCCAGGAACACAAGCCTCCCTCCCTCCCCCTCCAGATCGCTGCTCCTTAAGGGCCCGTGGGAGCGCCTTGTTACCTTGAGGCTTTGAAAGAGGTGGTCAGCCAGCACTTGATTGCACAGCCTGGTCACTCGGTCGAGGGACGAACCTGCCAACTGCCTCACTGCCTCGCTGTCTGGGTGGCCAAACTTTGCCAGGTGCTCCACGTAGTCCCTAGAGGAGCAGTCTCGTCAGGGGAGCTACATGCGAATTGTCGCAAAGCCAGCAAGGCTCGCAGGCATGGGGGGCAACCTCCTTTCCATCCCCATTTATTTGTGGAGAGGAGGTAAAGCGAAGAAATTGGCAGTGCATCGCATTCTGTACTACTGCCAACATTGCTGTCTACCTTGGCCGCTCCCTGTGGAACTACAGTTCCCTAAATTCCCAGGCAATGTAGGAACCCTGGGGATTTCTACAGTTCAGCATGTCAGGAAGCCCGCTCTTCTTGCTGCCAGTCAACTCCATGATCCACTGCAGCCGTTGGCCAAGACGCTCACGGAGCGTCCAAAACGCTCAGCGAGAATGTGTTAGCAATGGAGTCATGGCAAACCCCACAGCTGCTCCAGCCATGGAAGCCCTTAAGCGCCTGGTGTGATGTAGGCAGGTGGAGGAGAAGAACGCGAAGGGAATGCCCGAGGGAGGTCACCAAGAAGCAACCAGTCACACCAACGCCACATGGACCGAGCTGGCCCACTGCCTCTGGTTTCTTTGGAGTTTGAGGAGAAAGGCAGGGAAAAATAAGAAAAGGAGAGAGAGCAGGAAAAACTGAGGAAAAGTTGGTGATGCCCACTCTGAAAGGTGAGGGGAGCTCCCAGTCTGAACGTGACGGGAGGGCTCAGGCTGAGTGGCGGCAGATAGAAGGTGGCTGGGAAGGCGGAAGGCTGATGGGAGGGGTTTAAGGGAGCCCCCCGCAAGCCCTGAAGGGCGAGGAGGGCTTAGGTGGGCACTGGCCCCTTCCATCCAGCCCTTCTTTCTGGCATCAAGTGAGGGATCTCGACCGCCCGGCCACCTGGCCCCAGGCTCAGGCTGGGTTCGCGGGCGGCCTCATAAAGCACCCTGCGGTGCATTGGCCCTGGCTTCTGGCTGTTACCGTTTGAGCCCGGGCTTAGCATGTTGGCAGGATGAGCAAAGAATGGCGTGGTGTGTTCCTGTACACGGACGCACCCTTAAAGTTGAGCCACTGAAATCCAAGTGGACTGAGCTGAAGAGGGACTGAACTCGGTGTGGGATGACCAGAGGCGAGGAGGGAGGCGGGAAGGCCCAGCAAGAAGGGCTTCCTTGTTGGCATCAGGGGCAGGATGGCCACTCACCGGAAGGGCGGGCAGCAGTTGACCAGCATGATGGTTCGGCCCATGTAGCTCCCAGGGGTTAGGCTGCTGTCCATCTGGCCTTCGTGGAACTTTTCGACTTTCTTCTGGAAGCTGAAGGGGGCAAAGAGGACCCCAGTGTGGAAGACCTTTGGGGGGCAAAGCAGCAGAAGCCTCCCTCCCCAAGGAATCTGTTCTGCATGGCTGCCAGCTCCACCTCCTTGCCCTGACTTTGGCCCCTCCCCTCCATTTTTGCAGCAATCCAGATCGAGACCCTACTCAGTCTGAGAAACGGACCCTCTCTCCAAACCGCATCCAGCTGAGACCACCTGGGTCTGCTGACCACCTCTGGAGCACAGGAAGCCCCAGGCCCTCGGTGGCAGCTGCCCTGGGAGGCCTCATTACAGACGCAGCCACAGCCACAGCCCTGCAAGACCACCACCGCTTCCCTGCGATGCGCCGTAGAGGCCCCGTGTCCCTGGAGACGCAGCTGTGATTCAGACGAGCCACCAAGCCCGCTCAGAAGCCGGAGCTCTCTGAAAATAGGCATGTCAGGAAGCAGGCAGCTAAAAATAGCCCCTGGCCGGGCTCGGACGGTCCACCCCGGAATCCCTGACTGCTGGGCCCTTTTTTCTGTGGCTCCACCTCGCTGGCGTTTCCTTACGAACGGGCCACGGCAGCTATTTATACCCAAGGTGGACCCTATTCCTGGCGGCCAGTTTGAAATGGAAACTGTGCAACACATTCCCCTCCGGCACATCGCGTGCCCTCCCTGCGCCATCTGCGCTTTTCTCCCACGGGAAGCACACGCAAGCAGGGGATGTTTGTAATGGGAGTGTCGGGTCCTGGACACTGCTCAAGGAGCGAGGATGATGAATCCCAGGCCCTTTGGGGGCCAGGACGTGGTGGCAAAAGCCAGAAGTGCCCTCCAGGGTGGCACTTGTTTTCCACCTTGCCTGGGGTAGAGCAGCCCGCTTTGGACTCCCAGAGGCCTGGCCTTCTGGGGCAAAAGACACCCCCCACCGTTGGCTTCTCTCCCCAACTTGCCCACCTCCACCCCGTGGAGGAGCACAGAGGGAGCCTTGACGCACGTGTGCCAGAGCGGTCCGTGAGCCGTGAGCTCAGCCCCGGAAAACAGGGGGCTAAAGACGAAGCTCGAGACGGCCCCAACTTGACCCTCCTCGGCACAAGCGGGAGGGGAGGGGAGGGAGGCGCTGCCGGGCCTCGGGATGCCACTCTCCTGGTCAGGGGCAGGGCAGGAGGGGGCCAGCCCTGCTTCTGGGGGCTGTTTCCTGGCCTGGCCCGCCTCAAAGGGCTGACAGCCCTGCAACCTCTAGGTCCTCGGTTGACCTCACTGTGCAGGGCACACTCTCCTCGGGCCTGGTGATCCCAGCCTAGCCTACCTCACAGGGTTGTTCTTAGAATGGGAGAGAGAGAAGAACCCCGTCCCTGCCTTCAGCTGCTTAAAATAAAGCAGGGTGAGTGCCATTAATGAATCAAATCAGGCGCTCACGTCAGGCGACTACGGTGCACTTTTTCGGGATCCACCTTCTTCCTCTGAGGCCGCCAGAGTCTAAATCTAAGGGCTAAGTGTGCGTGAGTTTTCCCTGGCTCTTGGATCCCCACCACACCCCAGGGAAGAGAAGCCGTGCTCCGGGGCTTAAATGGTGGGGAGGAAGCACCTCTCAGCCCCAGGTGGAGAAGCTGCCCCAGACTGGTCTGGAGCCCGGGAGCCACTTCTGAGGAAAGTCAACAGGTGCCCCGGAGGTGGTATCCTTCCCCATGAAGAGTGCTGGACTACAACTCCCATCCCCCCCAGAGGGTCTGTCTAGAGATGCTGTAGCCCGGCGACCGGGGGGCTCTCTTGCGCCCTCGCCCATCTCCTTCCTGGACAATACCTCTGCAGGAACGCTGCCAGGCTGGCGAGGCAGCAGTGGGCCACCCTCCTTCCAAAGTCTTCTGTGATTTGAGGGGCTCTGTCGGCATGCCCCTTCAGCGCCTGCAAGGCAAGAGGGAGACTCAGCGGCCGGGCCGAACCCACAAAGCCTCCCTGGAGGTTCATCCCGGGCAGCCCTGCGCACGGGGCTGCCTTCCAGCCAGAGAGGGAGGCGGAAGAGGGGCATGAGGGGCTGGGTGGGCTGCCCCCTTCGCTGCCAGAGCCAACGCGCCATCCTCAGAGGGACACCTGTCATGCCCGGGCCTCTGATGCCGTCTGCCTGCACTTATGTATGCACTGCGCTGGTGCTCTCCAATGGGTTTGGACTGTAGTCCCCGTCATCCCCAGCCAGCAGGTTTGGGCAAATGCCAGCGGCCCAGCGTCACAGGGAAAGGCCCGGCCACCAGGGGCAGGGATGGATGGCAGCTCCCATCGCTCCCTGGTCCATGGGGAGAGGTGGACCTACAGAGGTGGGGCAGTTCCTCGAACTCCCCACCAGGGAATCTCCAGGACAGAGCCCAACTGGGTTGCCTCCTCCCTCCGAATGAGGGCTGCATTCACACAGAAGACCAAGCCTGGATTAGCCCAGATTGTGTGGGGAAGCAGGCCATAAGGCCTGTTCCCCGTTCTGTGGTAAGCCATGGGGAATGGGGCGGCTTCCGACGTCATTCTAAGCCAAAAGCAAACAGATGATGCTTGGCGTTGTGCCTGAAGCAAGCCTAAATCTTGAAATCCAGGGTGAGCTGAGCCCCCGTCCAGTTTTTAAGCAGGGCCGAGGGAGGGGAGCTCCTCCTGCTACCAGCTCCTGGTCTGAACACGGACGGTTCAGTCCACGGCAGCGGCCCCACCAGGAAAGCGGAGGGAAGTCTCCAGTGGTTGGCCTGGTGCGTGGCCGTGCCCTGTGTGGCCAAGCGTGTTGGAAGGAAACCCGCTGCCAAAGCAGAAATGGGGGTTGAAACTCCAGCGCCTGACGTACCAAGATGACTTTGCCGGACAAGCCGAACTGAAAACTGTCGTCCTGATCTTCTTGCGCCCAGCGCCCTTCCTCCTTCTGCAGCTCCTGGTTCATGTCATTGACGATCTTCACCTAGAACGAGCAACAGAGAGACTCCACAAACGTGTGCAGCGAGAGGGAAAGGGGGTAACCAGCAGAAGGGCTGGAGATGCTGCCAGGCAGGCAGAGACCCCATTCTGAGGGGCCACCCGTTGCTTGCAGCTCCTGGGACTTCAGTCCAGAGATATGTGGAACATAAGGAGACCTCCTGAGGCCACCTTGTTATCTCCTCCCAGAGGTCCCAGAGCTGGCACCATTTTTACGACAGAGCAGGATTACGGCTGCCAGCCAATTACCTTTGGGGCAGCCTTGCAAGGTAGGTCAGACTGAGAGAGGCTTCACCACTGCCCTTAGCCTGGAACCCAACCTTCTACCCTGCAGCAGGCAAGAACTACATGTTGTATGGAAGTGTCTCATTCAGTAGTTATTAATCGCCCCGCAAAGACAAATGAAGCTGGCCCTGGATGAGCAGTTCCTTATCTGGAGCAGCCTTGCTGAAGAGGCTCTCAGGGTTACTGCAGAAAGGATGGCCAGATGGCAGAGCCACACACGGCTGTCTGCGAGTCCGGGCCCTCCAGACGTGCTGGACTTCAGTTCCCGGAATGCCCAATCGACACGCCCAACGGTCCTGTGTCGCAGAGTGATTCTGGAGCCCCAGCTGGGAATGGACAGCCCTCCCAATAACCGCAAGTGAGGAGATTTTGTTTCACACTTTGAATGGCATGTTTTAATTTGCACCTGGCTTCTCCGGAGCCTCGGGGGACCCAACTAGCCTGTGCACCTCACCCCCGGCCTGCCGTTACCTTCACAGCTGCAATGCACTGGTCCTCCAGACTCCGCTGCGTTTCCAGGGACAGGAGGGGGCCGAGCACCTGGCCCTTGGCCAGAGGGGCGACCTCTGGCTGGCTGAGGACCTCCCTGTAGGGCAGAACGAGAGAGGGGGGCAGTTTTCTGCACAGTCCGAGTCCCCCCACGTGGTCTGAGGCAGGTCACCTTCCTAGCCCTGGACACGAAGCTGCTGGAAGGGGCGCAAAGCAGCGAGAGCATCGCCAAAGGGCTCTGCTCAGGGGCTGAGCTCTGCCATTGAAGAGAGGTCCGGGGGAAGGTCTCCATTTTGCTCCTGGCAGATTTAAAATGCTGGGCCCTGAGTGCAAGGATATGCCCATGGCATTTTGTGGGACCATGAACTTCTGACTGGGCTCAATTATAATTGAGCTTGTAAGAACACCCTGCTGCGTGCCACCCTGTGCCCTACTTCGGCCACGCCCTCTTCTGGGACACCTCTCCGCCCCCCCGCATGCACGCATATGCCAGCCGCCAGCGCCAGCATTTCCACTTGGACTCCATCGGGATCCACTCTCGGAGAGCAAGCCAGCCACCAACAAGCAGCCAAGGGATCTCTCCAGCCTCCGCCTCCGGCTGGTTCTCAGCCCCTTACCTTTGGTAGATGTTGCTGCTCCAGTCCAGAACAAAGTAGATTTCGGAGATGCTCATCTGTTTCTGGGCCATCTCTGCCAGGCAGCGGGCCAGGCCCCGGTGGTAGCTTCCGAGGTAGACACCAAAGGCCTGGTACTCCTTGGGGTAGGCGTGCAGCAGGCGGGACTTCACGGTGGTCAAGTCGTCCACAGTGCACTTGGCCAGCCGGTCCATCTGGCTGGCGATGGCACCTGCCCTGCCTTCCATGCACTGCCACAGCTTCTGGCTGACCAGCCTGTCCACCTCCTCAGCCCACTGCTTCTTCATCTGCCGTGGCCGAGCCCCAGACGCCCCCCCCGAGCCGCCGTGGGCCTCCAGCCACTTGCGGTCAGTGGCTTCCTCTTGCTCGATCACCTGCACCACGTGCTCCAGGGGCAGGGAGGTGCTCTTGGCAGCTAGCGACTCAGCCAGGACTGCCCACAGCTGCTCCTGCAGCTCTTTGTAGAGCAAGGCCACGTCCCTGGCCTTCCGGCTGCCGTCTTTCCAGCTCTCCTTGCTGCTCTCCCGGGCGCACTCGGCTTCCAGCTCGATGATGTGTTCATCAGCCAGCAGGAGATCCCTCCGGTGGATCAGGTTCAGGATTTCTAGGACTGGGCAAGGGACACAAGGGGGAACAGGAGCATAAGGCTGGGGCAGGGATCGGGGCTCCCTGCCCCAGGCACAGAAGACTCCAGGGAGACCTTGGGCCCATCTCTTTCCAGCCAAGCCTCCTTCACAGGATTGTTGTGATAGGGGAAAATAAGAGGAGGCGCACTCTGGGTGTTGCTTGAGCTCCTGAATGAAAAAAGGCTATGACTCCGATCAAGCAAAGCGTCAAGTGAGCAGAAGCGGCTCCCAGTCTGGCTGAGGTGGGGAGGCAAGACCGGAGCCCTGAACCGCGTGCCAGGCAGCCACGGAGTCCGGGGCCAAGACACGAGTGGCCGAGAGCCCCTCGCTTGCACGGAGGGACAAAGGGCCCAGGCGCAGAGCGTGGGACTTAGGCAGGGAGGCAGCCAGAGAGACAAGGCCGGGTCCCCCCTCCAAATCCTCTGCAGTGAAACGGCTGATCTGGCCATCTTGTGTCTGCCTGGGGAAGCAGAGCTGGAAGGGGGGTTACAGAAGACCCAGGCCGGACCCCTTGCCACAGGCATCATGTGGGTGGTTTCCGCTACAGACGGCTCCTCAGCTGAAAATGCTTCCGAGCCCCTCCTGGGCAACTCCCTTGACCCTCCAGCTTAGAGCTCTTCTGAGTCTGCCTCCAGCCTGGCCGGGTTCATTTCGCCTCCCAGGCACTTCTCTTCTGGGGGTTAGTGAAGAACCTGGATCGGGCACATCCTTTTGGGATGCCTTCTGACCCTCCACCAGCATCTCCAGGAGCTTCTGGGCAGCAACTGCCCTGAGCTCCAGAAGGATCTGGACATGAAGCTCTAGTGCAGGGTGAAAAACAGCCCCACCATCATCTCCCTCAGTCCACCTGGGTACCTTGCTTTTAATTAAAGTGTGGGAAACTGTCCACACGCATCTTCTTTAGAGGCAGGAACTTTCTACTTCCCTATACAACAGAAATGGTGGGTGGCTGCAGCCAGGTCTTTATCCAGAGATCTGCCCACCTGCCCCGGAAAAGGCCAAAAGAACATTTGGGCGTCAGAAACATCTGACAGGACTGGAAGAACCCAGAAGAAGAACCCAGCTGGCTTTTGGGGAGCCTTCCACCTGCCACATCCACGATGGCAGTCATTTTGTGAGAATTTTGGGGATTCCAGATGTGTTCTCTGGCCTCAACAGAGTGGCTGCTCTTCCTCTAGCACAGTGGTTCTCAGGGAGCTCAGGGGGTCCACAAAGTCTTTTTATACACACACACACACACACAATTTTTGTTGAAACTTTTAAATAAGAAGATAAAAACTAACACAAACTAATATAAAGTAAGGGGGAAAAAAAGAAAAAGAAATCAAAGAAAAAGAAAAAAGTGCAAGAAAAGAAAAAAGTTGAAGAAAAATACAAAAGAAAGAAAAAAGATGTAAAGAATGTCAGAAGGGGGTCCACAAAGTAAAATAAATAATTATTATAACATTTCTCAGTTTTAATTTCTCAAAGGGTAAATACCAGTAGATACAGCCATCATAAACCAAAGCTCTGTGAGGCCCTCAATCGTTTTTAAGAAGGTAAAGGGGTCCTGAGGCCCAAATCTTTGAGAACTGCTGCTCTAGCAGAACTCTGGCCTGACGGCCTAATGGGAACGCAAATGGAATAATGGCTGAACGGTGCAGTCGTTGCCTGTCCAGGGACAAGGCGAACTTGGTCTACCACCCAAGGCTTGCGTGCTTGAGGGACCCATCCCGAGAGGTGAGACCTGCTTCAGGGGACAACCCACACCCACATCACACCCTGACCTCCCCCATATGCCAGAGGTCGATACTGAAAGGTGACCACACGGAGAGGTGGAATAACGGGGGGCCATTTGGCCTCCTTGAAAGAGGCTCCAGATGCCCTGGGACCAGAAGGGGCCCAGCAGCCATTGGGGGCGGGGGGGGACGCTCGTGCATGTGTTCTGCTTGCAGGAAGTCCTGGGCTGAAGTCAGGCCTTGGGAGATTTCAAGAAGCCCATCTTCAAGAAGCCCGTCGTGGGAAGGAGCCTTCCTTGCCCGCAGCCTTGGGGGCCGAGGGTCTGGCTGGGCTAAAAGCAGCCTCTTCCGTTTCCCTGCCCTCCACCGAGGGGAAATGCCCCAGACAAATGACGCATTCTCCTGCCACAACAATGACCTGACCTTATCAGCTTAACTGCAGCAATCAGCTGGGGGGGGGGCAGGGCTCTTGCTTTGAACAGTTTGGATTGTCCAGATCAAAAGGGGTGAAGCTGCTATGTGCCCTCTTCCAGGTCTTAAGCCCCTCTTACATCACTGATAAAAAGTGCAAGAATTGGGGTGGGGGGGTAGCCCAAGGTATTCTGTGCTTCCCAGTCAAGTCGCCTTGATGCCTAAGAAAAGACCAGGGAAGCGGGGGGTCAACTTGGGGAAAGAGAAGACAGTGCTCCCCACCCACCCCATGCCCACGCGCCCCTAATTTCTGATTTTCAGAAAGCAGAGCGCCTGCTCTGCCAAAGGTTCTGGAGCAAAATTCCTGGCATCTTCTGGAGGGTGCAACCTGGAAGAATACGCTGGTGCTGTTCCCTAGTTGGGTAATGTAATGTCTGCCAGCAAACAGCCCAGCTCAGAGAGCACCAAGAACCATCATCAGCCAGTGCGAAACATCTCTCATCCAGCCTTTCCCAACCTGGCGCCCTCCAAACAAGACCGGACCACAATCTTCCTAATCCCCAGCCAAAAGAACCAGTGGCTGTGCCAACTGAGGGCAGTGAATGCCGGAAGCAAGCAGCCCAAAATGCCATAGCAGCGTCTGAGAAAAGTTCCTCAAGGTAAGAATACTGCACCCTAAATACACGTGGTAGGTAGTTTCACAGCTTCTTTGGTGAACTGTCCAGTTTGGAAGCATGAACCTGCAACCCCAGGAGGGGGAAGAAGACAAAAATGGTTTGGAAAAAGGAAGCCCACCAAAGGGTCCCTCTGGAGCGCCAAGGGCAGCAACGCTCTGCCCTTCGCCGAGCACGCAGCACTGTGCTGCAAAGGCATCGCGCAGGAATAAGAGAACAGGGGCCATGAGTCCCGGCAGCGCAGCCAAAGCGAGTTCCTGAAAGCCCCTGGCTGGCTTCCCACGTCCCGCTGCGCCAAAACGGGCATCGGGGGCTTTCTTTAGCCCGAGAGCTCAGCCCCTGCTGCCTGGGCTCAGCCATTTCCCATGGATGGGTGACTGTGATGGAAGGCATGAGCGGGGAGGATTCTGGAACGCAGCTTCAAGGTTGCCGGGAGGGGAAGAGAGGTTGCAGGGGAAGCGCCTCCTCAGCCCCCAGCCCCAATAGATTCGGTCTATTAGGGCCATGCTACCAAAGGAGCTAAGCTGTTCTGGACTGTCTCGCTGTTGTTCTTGGGCTGAACCTGACATCAACCTCGCCAGACTAATTCTAATCCCCAACAACAGCAACCCTAACCATGACGCCCTAGGGAGGGGCCAGCCTCATCCTCTTGACTTTCCCACACTCCGGCTGGGGGCTGGGGGGCACTTCCCCTGGATCCTCTCTTCCCCCTCCCGACAACCTTGAAGCTCCGTTCCAGAATCCTCCCCGCTCATGCCTTCCATCACAGTTACCCAGGGCTTGGTGGGCAGGCTGCAATGGCATGTACAGCCCAGGTTTTAAATGCCACAGTGGCTGGCCCATGTGTGGTGCTGGGACCAAGCGAGACAGCCACGTTCCAGCTTCATGGAATTTGTCCACCAGGCCTTTCAGAGGATTAGGGATGGGGGGGCAACAAGCCACGGGGTTTGGTGTGGCTCCAGGGAGGTGATGGGATGAGCCACAGACTCTTGGCGGGGGCCCTCTTCACTCCCCCCCTTGCCAAGAGGGGTGCCACCGGCTGCTTCCGCTCAGGGCATCCCTTGGGGTGGGAGAAGGCTGCCAGGCCTCCAAGTTCCGGTGGAAGAGCAGCCTGACCGCAATGGCCGACAGGGACGTGTGTGACCTCCCCGGGGGGCACCCGGCTGCCTTCTGGCTGGTAGCTTCGATGTCAGACCCATCAGGACAGCCACTTTTAACCGCAGTTGAGAAGAGGGAGCGCAAGTCACAGCCCGCACTCTGCCCGATGGCTGCTCCCTTGGCCGCCTCGCCTGTTCCGGCTGGGGGGCGTCCCCGGCATCAGAGGCAGAGAGCGGCCTTCTGCTCCGCCACAGCCTTGAGATTCTTTCGAAGGGGGGAGGGCCGAGCGAGTCCTCTTCTCGAGCACTGAGCATAGTGGGTGTCCCTCCCCTCCCTTCCTCTTGCCTTCCTCGCCTGGCGCCAGCTCCTTTGCTGAGCCCAGCTAGACAAGGGCTCTGGGCATTGTTGGGGAAAGAACAGGGGTCATGGGGGGCGGGGGGGGCACAGCCTCGGATCTCAGGTGAGGAGGGCATCACCGACTAACCGGTCCAGGCCTTTGGGAGGGGAAGGAAGGGTCTTTCCAGGCTTCTGAAAGAAAGCAGAATTGCTTCTGCACATGTTTGCTCTGCCTCCCCAAGACTCTCCTCTGGCGCATTCTCCGGGAAGGTCACAGGCCACCGCTCATTAGACACTCCTGCGATCACGAGCTGAATCATGAAACTGGAACAATGAACCCAAGTTTTAAAAAATATATGGACAAAGGAAAGAGAAACTCATTAGTTCCCAGCACTCATAACCTGCGTAAACAGGCTGGCCAAGGTCAGTGAAGCCCAGGGCTCTTCCTTCAGCCCTGTGAGGGAGATTGCACAGTGCAAGAGTTTGCAACGCGCCACTTTCAACAGCCGAACATACATTACTCCTGGGAAGCGAGAGGGCACGTTGTCAGAGAGCAAGCAAGCGGGACCCGGCGGGGTCTCAAGCCTCAGCGTCACGATTTCTGCCTAAACGACCCACACGCAGGGCCTCCGGAATAGGAAAAGGTTCACTGCCCGAGTCTCTGCATGGTTGTCATAATGTGATATTGGCTTAAACCGAGCTTTGAACCAGCCACTCCCGTTTGTAAAACTATTCTTTATGGCCAACCCTCCCTTGGAAGGGAGGGGTTTTCCTGGGGGTTTTAAGTTATAGTTAGGGGATCTTATTAACATGTAGTTGCTGCCTGGAATCTGGTGAAGGGGGTGGCATTCAAATGTTGTAATAGAAACAAACACAAGTTGAAACAAATCATGGCCTGGCATAATGTGTGGGCTTGGTTTATCTTGGTTTACTATGGCTGTTTTCCCTGCAATAATCTGTCCTCGGTTGTCCCAGCCAAGGTGACCTTTCTTCTCGTTACTGAAGTCGCAGCACAAAAATACAAGGGAGCAGCGCAGGGCGCTGGGGGGCACGTGGGGCACGCACAGGACGAGCCAGCAGTCCTTAAACCAAACCCAGGATCGCTAAGAGGCACCTGCCCCGCCCAAGGGACGCGGCGCCTTTAAGCAGCTGCCGACTGAAGCGGCGTGGGCCCCCTGCACGCGCCTCAACTTTTCCCCTTCCAGTCGGAAGCCCTGCACAGCCAAAACGTGCCGCTGCTTCAGGCCTGCGGTGCCACCGCGCCGGCTGCTGCAGGGGTACCCGCGCCGTGAAGAACCTCGCCCCTTGCAAACTCGGGGCCATAGGTCTCCTCCTGTCCCATGCAGGACTTTTAATGGGACACAAGCAGGGCTAAGGAGGGACAGACGGGAGGAAGCAGGGCCGGGGCCAGGTGCATAAGCCCCACTCTGAAATGATTTACGGATACAATTTACAGCCTGCTTTTCTGCTCAGATGGGTACTCAGGGTGGCTAACAACATTAAGAAATGAAATAAAAAATGTAACATTAATGGTACAGGCAGGCAATAACTGCGGATCTGGACAAAAGGCTGGAATGAGCCTTGCGCAAAGGCAGGTACGCGGGAAGTTCCTGAGGCGACGTGGCTAAATGGGCTGGAGTTTCTAGATAGGTTTGTTTATAAGTGAGATATCCTGGTTGTATCACGGCTGATCCACCATTTTTTTGCACGATGCCTCTAGCTCAGTGTTTCTCAACTGTGCCCACTTGAAGATGGGTGGACTTCAACTCCCAGAATTCCTCAGCCACCCTTGCTGGCTAGGGAATTCTGGGAGTTGAAGTCCACCCGTCTTCAAGCCGCCAAGGTTGAGAAACCCTGCTCTAGCTGCCTTGTATTTAGCTGTTTGCTTGGTGATCAGCAAGGAATTATATGCCGCCAGCCTTCCGAGACAGTACCCTAAATAAGCAGGGATGGCAGTCTGCTAAAGGGGGGGGCAGTCCGCCCACGCTTTTCTGGCTCCCCAGCCCTAACCTAGCAATCGGAAACCCCCCACCTGGTCCCCTGGATTCGGCATCCTCACGGGCTCCCCTTATGGGCTTGGCCCGCCACGGTCGCCTGGGGGGCAGCAGGAGGGGAAGGGTGCTGGGCTCCCCATTCCAGCCAGGCCAGACTTACCCGAGAGCGGCTCCTTGGGCTTGAGGTCGCGCTCCTCAGCAACCGGGGCTGCCTCCGAGCCCTCCGTCTGGTTGAGCTTCTCCACCAGGGAGGCCCGGCGCACCTTCCCGCCCAGCCCAATCTTCAGGAAGGACCCGCGCTTCATGGCGTCCCCGCTGGCACCATTCTCCTCCGCCAGGCCGCAGTCCGAGCTGTAGAGGCCCTCCTTGCGTCGTCCGTTGAAGCGCTGCAGCAGGCTGAAATCCTCCGAGCAGCGACGTGGCTTCCTCTTCTCCGGCACCCGCTGCCCCAGGTTGCCCTCCATCAAAGGGAGCATCATGCGCTCCAGGAAGGACCGCCTGTCGGCGCCGTGCTCACTGCTGGGGGACCTCTTCTCCCCACTCTTCTTGCCCTTGCCCAGGCGGAAGGGGCTCAGCCCCACCAGCTTCTCCAGCGTGGCCCGGCGCCTGTAGCGGTCCTCGGGGCTCCCGCCGAACAGGCCCCGCTCAAAGTCCCCCCTGTGTCCTGGGAGGGCTGTCTCTCGGCCAGGGGAGAGCCCCCCGAGGAAGGAGTCCCTCTCATTCTCCTCCAGGTCTTCCTCGAAAGGATTGGCGCCCAGACCCTCCTTCGCCAGAATCAGTGTCCCGCTGCTGCCTCCGCCACTGCCAGCGGTGCCTCTGCTGGCCATCTTGAGCTGACAGGGGTTCTTGAGGACCGGCATGGCACTCGTGTTCCCCGGCCCTGTGGACAAGAAAGTGACGCTCAAACGTTGCTAGAAATCGCAAGGACCCCTTGGCACGAGAGATCCGGGAAGGAGGGTGGACCTCCCGGGCCCCCTCCTCCTAAGTCTGGAGCCAAAGGCCCAATTCATACGCCGAGCCGGGTGTCGTCTGCTCTGGGCTGGGCTGGGCTTGCACAGCGTAGGAAGCCATGAAGCAGGGTTTATAATTTACAGTGGTGGGCTGTGCCCAGAGCAAGAAGACCCGCCATGGATAGGCCTGTTTCCCCGTTCCGGTAGGGGACCTTTGTCCGGCTATTGGCTTAAAAGAAGACAGAAGCGTCAGCTCCACCGGAAATGCCTCCAGGCAGCAAACTTCCCAGAAGAGGACGGGAAACCTCCTCTGCAAAGCCCTTTGGGAGCATCGTGAGGTGTGGGGTGAGTGGAAGTCCAGTGGACTGAGGGGAAAGTGCAGGCAGGCAGGAGAGGCTGGCTGGAGCGCAAATAAGAGGCCCGGCCAGGACCCCCTGCCCCCCCCAGCAGAGGGGAGAGAAAGGAAAGGTGGCACAGGAGGAGAGGCCACCGTGTTGCTCCAGAGCTGGGATTCACCAGCCAAAGTGGTTCTCTGCCAGGGACTACCATGGCAGCCTGGAGCACGACGGGGTTCTCCCTGGCAACCCTCGGCACCGGCGTTTACCACTGCCTTGGAAGCTGCCTTGGCGTGGCAGGTGGCACCGGTGAGCCCACGGAACTAGTGGGGTGCAGCCGGGATGGAGCGAAGGGTTCTTTGCTCCCGCTTCTGTGCAGCTGCACGCCTTGGGCTCCAGGATCCCCCTTTTCTGCTCTCTATTACTGCTTCTTGCTTGAGAAAGCTGGAATGGCAGTCAATATTTTCTGGCAGGTGCCTCTGACGGCCAGACCACTCCTTGCAGCCCTGCCGGTCTGTGCTCCCGTCTCCTGGGCCAAGGCAGCTGGCCCCACAGATGGAGGTCTGGCTGCCGCTAGTACTGCAAGCACGAGGCGCGTTGAGGAACAATGCGAAGCAGGAGCAGGACTGAGAGAGGAGACAAAGGGTGCCCTGAAGCTTCAGACTCCCAGCTTAAACAGAGATTCACAAGGAGGAGGAAAAGTAGAAAAATAAAGGAAGAATTCCAGGATCAAAGCCCAGCAAGAATGGTCAGGATTCACTGTTTGTCAGCCCCAGCTGAGGAGACCTTGGAAAGTCCACTTACTTCCTCCCCAGGCGCTCAGCTGAGCCTGGATTCAGAAGCCAGGGAGGGTCACGCGGTCCCCCTCCACAGGTTTCAGAGGATTCATGCAGCCCGACAGCAGGAGGCCCCTTGAGAGGGTGCCTCTGGGAGCGGCCTTGTAGTCCCTACTTCCACTTTCCACTCCTTCCGCTGCTTCCTGTCCCAGCCCCACCTCTGGGGATCTGTCAGCAGGTGCCCAGAGGGCCTGCAAGCTGCGGTCTCCGAAAGGCAGAGGGAGCTGGGTGTTACCTGAGGAACTGGTGCGTCCCTTCACATACAGCCAAGGTCTTCCCCCTCACCAGCACAGCAGCCTGAGAAAGGAGGACCCTTCCATCAAGCCCCTGGCCATCCATCTGAGCAACCTTCTCCAACCTGGGGCTCTCTAGAGCTGCAGCCCCCAATGTTTGCCATTGTCTGAGAGTTGAAGTCCGCATACCTCTGGATAGTGCCAGCTTGGGAAGGGAGGGCGCCTGGGGATGGGGTCACCCCACAAGCATGGCAGCCCTCCATGGCAGACCTTGAGTTGGCCTCAGGACATACGTGAGGCTGTGGCATTCGGATATCTTGCCACCTCAGGCCACCTCCTTGGCTGACCGCTGGCTGAGCCACCCGACTGAGAGCCACCAGGCTACTGTGGGGACCCCAGACTTGAAAGCCCACTTTCAAGAGATGAGTTGGCGGATGGTTTCCTTTGGGGGAGGCTCCTGGAGCAGCAACTTTTCCTTTTGCTCTCAAGAGCAGCATGCTGGTGGACAGAGCCAGCCCGAGCCCCGTGAGCTGCCCAGGGCAGGGAGAGCGATTCCCTTCTGGACTTGCAACCAAAATTGGCCCAGGAAAGGGCACCCATTAGAAGAGGCAAAAAAGTTCCTGCCCTTCTTTGAGGTGAGGCTTCCCCCAAAGGAGCCCTTAAACCTCGATTCCAGGTTGTCGATGAAGGTGGGACTGGTGAGAATGGAAGTGGGGTATCGCCAAGTGCAAAAAGCTCAAGCAATGGGTTATGGGGGCAAGTTTGGGGCAGGCCAGCATTTCTCTCTCTCTTCAACATCCATCTCCAAGTTAGGGATGACTTGCTGGGAAGACGGAAAATGTCCCATTGGTAGAAACTCTGCAAAGTGATGATCCAGCCTCACTAGTGAAGGGGCTTCCAAGCAGGAGTGGGAGAGTTCTTCCTGACCCTGGACTGACCCTCCCAAAAAGATGACCCTTGAACCAGGGCTCCCAAGTTGTGTTGGACTACAACGCCATCCTTCTTCCCCAGCACATCTGTTTTGCACTGGACTGGAGGTGACGACAAGGGGATGAGAAGCTCTGGCTTAACTCTTGTCTGCAAGCCAGGAGGAGGAAATTCCTTCTCCAGGGAAGCCCCGGGATTTGCCGAGGGCCAGCATGCAAGGACCCTCCCTGAATCTCCTGCTGCCGAGGATGTTCTCTTTCTTGCCTTGCCTTCCTCCATTAGCCAGCTGGCCAGCCGCAAACTGACCGACGAATTTACTGGCTGCGCAGGGGTGTGCATACAAATCCCTCCAGCGAGAACTCCTTGAATAGTAGGAGGGTCTTCCCTTGCTGTAGCTCTTATATTAAAAATATGTGTATTTGTGCAGGCATATATGCACACGTTGAGGGTGGTGCGATTATCTGGATGGTGATAGTTAAATTAAGTCTCCTTTGGACCAAATGCTAACATGCAGCTTTAGAGCCCTCAGCAGAGGCAACTTGGTAGATAAGTCCACACATCAGACTGCCTTATCAGCAAATTTACCAGCAGGTTCACCTGTGCTTGCTTTGGGCAGATGTAACGGTCTATGGGAATGACCTTGGGAGACGGGGCAAAGAGGCGCAGCCAAGGGAATGGTCAGATAAGAGACAGCACAGCCCGCAGCTGGACAGTGGATGGGGCAAGAGGCTCAGAAGGGACCCACCCTAGTTTCTTGGGCTGTAAAGGGGCCGGGGGAGAGATGTACTTTCAGACTGGCAAGATTCTGTTAATGTAACCTTACAATAAAGTAGGATTAGCTCATCTGGCCGCATTACCTGTCTGGTCTACCTTGCAAGGCTGACAGCAGCCAAGGCTAAGAACAGGAAACTTTTGCACTGCTTGGGCCTCCCTTGGGTCTTAGGCGACACGGGTGCACAGGCAGGCTCTGTTCACAGGCCTGAGTTGGAGACCATCAGTGACAAAGAGGACCTGGTGGAGAAGGCTAGCATGTGGGTCAGGGATAAAGAGTGCCTTGAGAAGAAAGTCAGCGTGGGAGAAGCTCACCTACAGGGCACATCAGAAGACATCTTCAAGTGGAACGGAAGGCTTTCTCCAGGCCCCTGCCAGAGGACGTAGGTGCAGTATTTTGCACCCCACCCAACTGGTTCAGAGACACACTGTCTCTAGGCTTGAAGGATCCTACACAGCCCTCCCAAGGAATTCCCCATCATGTGCCTCACTAAGCAGTTAAGCAACCAAGATTAGGGGTGCAATCATCAATAATCCAGAAACAAACAGGAGACTAGAGTCCAAAGCCAGTCGAGACCCACAGGCGGCCTTCAGCAGGAGGGTGAAACGCTGCACCCAGTCCGTAGTCAGAGCCAGCCAAAGCCAGTAGCAGGGCACCCGGCTGCCCCAGAGGTGGTCCACACCGCCTGCCGAGCCCAAGTCAAACAGGCAACTTTACGGTTTACCATAAGGTATGAACCCAAACGACATTGCAAAGAACTCTCTTCTAGCACTGAAGATGTGACCTAGCCGGGCAACAAAACGTCTGCAAGGGAACAGCCAAGCTCAGACAACCCCAGGGGCTCCAAAGAACTCAGATATGGACAGGCTGTTCTTCTGAAGCAAGCCTTTGGATCAAGGAACTGCGAAACGAACCGTGGAACAGGCAGTCTTTAAAGAGAAACCTGGAGCTCAGGAGAGCCTAGGTTGTTTAAGAAGACATTTCCCTGTCCTGGATAAATGGATGAAAGGGAACGCTGAAGGGAAAGCGATCAAGCTGTGGGTGTGGAAAGGGTGAAATCCACCGGGGGTCACTGGAAAAGGGATTAAAAGTAAAACTTCCAAGGTCATATTGCCAGTCCTTTATCCTAAAAAAAGATAGAATTGGAAAAATTCAGAAAAGGGCAACAACCGATTCAGGGCCTGGGGAAAGTCCCCTAAGAGGAAAGACCACAGAATTTAGCCCCCCCCCCAGCCCAAAAAAAGCAAATAAGGGGCAGGGGACAAGAGAGAGCGGTGTCAGGGTAAGCACTGTGTGGAGAATGGGAAAGAAGGTGTTCTCCCTTTTTTATAACCTAAGGAAAGGATTGGGGAAGCTGAATCGTTCTTCACAGTTGCCCCTCCCAGAAGATGGGATTGCGGCCATCAAGAGGGAATAGACTGGCCCATGGCAGGAAAGACTGGCAGGAGCGAAGAGAGGTTATCGGTTTCTTGATATCAGCCGTTCGGAAAGGGGTCTGGGCGAGGCCCTTCCCCTCCGCCCTCTTGCAGGCTTCCCAAGGTGTCCTTTCAGCCGGGCTCAGCCCTGCACTGACCCGGCAGGGGTCCACGGACGGTCTCCTGCCTTCCCGAAACGCTCTTCTCCAGCCCTTCGCGAGACTTGTTTGCAGGGAGAACGTTTTCTCTGGACTCTGAGAACCTTCCTGGCCGCCCTGCCCAGGTGGAAATAGGGACCCTGCCACCCTGCCTGCCACCCCCTCCCAGTAACATCGGGGGGAACCTCGATGGGCTTTCCTTAAAGCGGCCTGCCTCCCACGGCTTTGAAGGACGAAGCCCTCAGCTGTCCGCAGAGCAGCCAAATGCAGCTGCCCCAGGAACCCCACGAGCCCCGGCTTAGCAGGGCATCCACAGCCCAGCTGGCTGCAAGCCACATGTGCCGTGGGGCTGGAGGCAAACCACAGACGAAGATTGTTTATGCAAGTTGTACAGCCGCCCATCTCATCTAAGTGACTCTGGGCGGCTCCCCCCTTCCTGAGGGCCCCCTCCTTGAGAAAGAGGTGACACGACAATGCATCTCACTCTTGGGAAGGTTTGCCAAAATAACCTTGAAAGTCCAAAGCGGGCAGAAAAGGAGATCCTGACTTTCCGGGGTCCACCTCACTGGTGTGACTTCCCCAACTTGGTGCCCTCTGGACTGCAGGACCGCAGCTGCCACCCTCACCCCATTGGCGCATCCATGGCTGGAAGCCGCAGCCCAACCCACCCAAGGGGCCCCTGCCTGAGGAAGGTCCCCCAAAGCAGGGGGAGAGGGGCCGGGGGTGCCCAGCGTCCCTACCTCGCAGCCTTCTCTGCCGGCTCCCCCACCTCCGGCTGCTTGTTCTGCTCTGGGCAGCTGGGATGGGGAGGCCGAGGAGACCAGCGGCTTCCGAAGGAAGCCCCCCCCACCCCCCCCGCCCG